CTTCCCCCCTCCCTTTTCCAGCCCCCCCGCTGCGCCTGACGCGGTGCGCCGCCAAGTAGCAAGAGATAAAGGAGCTCGGCGGGGCATCAGTCATAAATTAATTTTCCTCCTCAAGATACAGGGCGAGCGAATAGAAAAAATGGGGAGGGGGACGCCGCACGGGCTTTTGTGCGCTGCTTTTGAAAAATCAGCAGTGGCCGACTGTGTGCGAACTAGCGCCCAGACGACAGTGAAAAATGAAAGAGGTGGCGGAACGACGCCTTTGTGACGTTCGCGCCGCCCGGCCGCTGGGCTGGGCATTAAGCCAACTGGGTTATCCTCATCCATTTTTGCGGCTTTCACCGGCAAAAGCGACGATGCGGCTGGAAACGTAGCGGGCGCGGTGGCAGTGGCGGCCGTAGAACGCCCCCTGTTCGCTCGGCGCACCCCCGGGCCGCAGGTGGATCCGCTGCGGTCCGAAACATTCCTCGCTTTCTTTGTCACATACATTCTCTGAACCCCGTCCCCTGCCCCCTGCCCCTCCCGCAGGTGCACCCCCACTGCCTCATGTGCCCTCCGCGCGGCCTGCTCACCAAGCAGATCGGGATGCCCCTGCACGAGTTGTTCCCCGTGGACTGCAGCCACTTCCCCGCGCAGCCCCGCCGCAGGACCTCCGTGCTGGCTGCCCGGGAGCGGCCGCCCAGCGCCGTCGGCCCCGAGCGGACCGTCAAGACGGGCATGCGGGTGCGGGGCACGATGCAGCCTACGGACGCGTGAGTATCCCCACTACAGCACCATCATCGTGGACGTGGGCGAGGCGTACTTCATGATAACGCCGGCTTTCAGGGACATCGTGGAGCTATCCGGCCGAATGACTCCCGGCGGCCCTGCAGGCTTCCGCAGCCCGGCGATGTCGCGGCCCCAGAGCGCGGACGACGAGCGGCAGGCCCGGGGCCGAGGTGCGTAACGCCGCATGCAGCAGCTCCGTGTCGATCGGGTGCCGAGTTCAGCAGCGGCGCCTCCACAGGGCCCAAGGCGGCCGAGGGGGTGGAGGAGCAGCCCAAGGACGGCGCCGAGGAGGTGGAGGGCGCGGTTGAACAGGCGCCAGAAGCGTTGGAAGGCGAAGCAGCCCCTGTTGCTGAAGACGTTCCGGCCGAAGAGCAGACTACCCTAGCAGTCGATGAGCAGGTACGATCTATCTTCAGTATAGGATCAGGTACACGTTGTTGAGCAAATTTTTACAGGTTTTACTGTGTCCTGCAGGATGGGGAGCTCGCCAAGGCCGGGTCCCGCACTTCTCTCCGGCGGTCTCGGTCGCCCAGCCACATCTCGGACCGGAGCTCCCTGCGCCGGCAGCGCAGCCCGGACCACTCCGCCGTCAGCGAGGGAGGCGACACGGAACAGGGTCAGGGCCGCCGAGGCCCGCGCACCGGCCTCTACATGGGCACCGACCCCTGTGCCGTCTCAGCCTCGTACCGGACCTCGGGCGCTAGCGAACAGCCACAGCAGGACGGTGTATACTCTACGGACCCCTGCGCCGTCTCGGACACGTACCGGCCCTCGGACGCCTTTGAGCACCCGAAGCAGGACGGAGTCTACTCCGGCACGGACCCTTGCGCCGTCTCGGACAAGTACCGGCCGTCCGACGCCGTCGAGCAGCCCAAGCAGGGCGGCGGCTACACGGGCACGGACCCTTGCGCCGTCTCGGCCGGCTACCGCTCCTCGGCCGGCAGCGCGTACCCTGGAGGCCTGACAGTGCCGGGAAGCGTGATGCACCCCGTCGCGGAGGGCGTCCCCGAGGGCGCCGCGGAGGGCGGCCGCCGGTCGTGCCCCGTCACCCCCCAGGCCGACAGCATGTCGGAGCGAAGCGCGGGCCGCGTCTCGGACGGCGTCGGGAGCGTTGGTGGCAGTAGGCGGGAGCTGCCCGGCGTGGCGGCGCATTCGCCCAAGAAGACGTCGGTGGCGGGCGTCTTAGCGAGCGACCCTGCTGCTGTCCCCGCGGCGCGCCGTTCCAAGGTTCAGGACAGCTCCGACGCCGGGAGCGTGGCAGCAGCAAAGGAAGGAGGTGCGTATTTATAGTGCGTCCAGAAAGATTAGTCCAAACTTCTGACAGGGACTTTTTCTAGGATCGGCCGTGGCTGACTCGACGGGCAAAGCTGATCCCACGACCGCGGCCGATTATCCAGCGGGCCCTGGAAATGAACCTGCTGGACCCAGAACCTCGGCGGATTCTCCTCAAGGAGCACCACCGGAGCCTGGAGCGGGCGTTGCAGGAGGGCCGCAACCTGGAGCCGAAGCACAACCAACAGAAACCAGCGCGCAGCCCTGGCCTCCAGGCATCAGCGGACAAGGCTCTCCTGCGTGTCGGTCCAGTGGCAATATCCAGGCGCAGGGAGGACCGGCTCCTGGAGCAGAAGGCGGGAGCGCGCCATCGACCAAAAGCATGGGAGCCAAGACTGTGTCCGCGCCGCCCAGCTCCATGTCGCTGAGCAGAGGTACGGGGCGTCGCGTAGCCCCCTGCGGGTAGGCAGCCACTCTAGCTCCCGAGTACGCTGCGCGGTCTGCCGAGCGGGCGCGAACGCCTATGGGGCACCGGCAGGAAACACGCGCTTGTGTATTTTTTTTTTTTTTGCGAGGCCTGTTGTTGTGGCCGCCTCACTCTCTTCCCACTTCACTCAAACTTCCCTCCCGCTGGTCGAAACACTAATCCCGCTGATTGGCCCCGCCTGACTGACAGGTCCGGGGGCGCGGGGGCCGGCGGGGCCCGAC